GCAGCTTCGCGTGCCAAACTTGTGAAATACCTTTTGCCTTCCTTAAGAGTTCTTGCTCCAAAGCGACCTACAGCCAGGCCCGGCCCGGCCCGGCGGTGACCAGGGCAGGTAGAAGCACAGGACACCTTGCGTTCTGCTTACTTACTGTACTGTAGAAAGCAGCAGGAGCTCTGCTCTCAAGTGGCCACGGGGCGCTTCTGAGCAGTGTCCTGATGCTGGACCTGCTGGCGCTCTACTCTTGACCTCAGAGGGTGAAGCAGAACCAGGCCACCCTTCTGCCAGCAGGAGCCACTCATCAGAGGACTAGGCAAGGAGCAAGGTTTGAATCTGGGCTCTGGAGACAGAGGAAAGCGAAATTCCTTCAACCAAAGTCTGCAGACTGTATTGAGACGGACTGTCCAGTAGGTGGCGTCTTGGCAAAGCAGCCTGGCAGTTCTCCAGCCTCTCCTGGGTTCCACTTAGAAATAGCTGGAGCTCCTCTGAGAGTAGAGGTACGGGCGGGGCACATCCAGCCCTCAAGATGGCCCGCGCCGTGGTTATGCTTGAAGCTCAGCGCTGCTGGTTCCCTCTCAGGCACCTGCCATTTCACATCAGTCCTCTACCCCCCGAGAAGGCACCCCAAAAGAGGTACTCCCTCCTCCAGTGCACCCTACCTCCTAAACCATCAGGGAGCTTCAATCCCCTTCCATAGAAGTTATGCACAAATGTGAACCACCGAGACAGGGCTCAACCTTTCTTCATTTGTTCTTTTCCAGACGTCAGTAAGTCTGGAGCAGATTGCCCTCGATATTAGCATGAAAGACAACGGGGTACTGTCAATGTTGGATTTTCTCAGAGCGTGTGGTCATCTGCAGCTGGAGGGGAGGGCTGGTGGACAGACTGCTTCCAAGTAAGCAATCACTCGACTGGGAGGGCCCTTATTGAATGTGGTGACCGCCCCTCACCTCACGCCGTCTGCTCTTTGTAAAAAACAAAGCCTCATGTTGATGTACTACGTGTGCTGTTTGGGGCAGGCAGCAGTGTATTCCGTCCAGCGGGGAACAACGTGCTCCCCCATCCTGTACCCCACTCCTGCCGAGGTTCCCCAAGAACTGTGTTGCTGTGTGTGTGGTTGTGACAGGTCTGGTGGGGCTCACTCAGCACAAGCCTCCGTCGAGGTTGGAACTGTCTGCATGATGTCACATCTGTTGTACCTTGGGGGAAATCTGTATGTAAATGTACAGAAATAAAAATGTTGCCCCATGAACCACCTTCCTCTGGAATGTGTTCCCTACCTCACCTGGTGGCATCCAGTGAAGGTCGTCTCCTGCCATGGCTGAGTAATAAAAACCCTCCGTGTTGAGTCTGCTTTACCTTGCTGTAAACAGTTTTCCTTCCAGCCCAAGGGGGCAAGGGTCCCTCTCACTGTGGGTGGAGAGTCTGCATTAAACACAAGCATTCTCAGACCACCTGAGAAACACATGGCTGTCAGTAAGCAGAGGCATCTTCTCTTCTTGTTCCGTGTTCCACTGACCCACACCTAGAGATCAGCGCAGCATCTTACACTGTGATCTACAAGGAAATCCGGCTAACCCCAAACTCCCTTCTCTCTAATGGAGTATTTTTTAACAAGAAAACAATATTTCTTTAATAAAGTATTTATACCAAACTTCTCTCAATAGGCCTGATTTCTGTTACTCATTAATCCGAGAGACACCGTACGCTTTTCAAGCCAGGATTGTGCTGGCTGAGGCTCTCTGAGGCGACCCAGGAAGTCTGCAGAGGAGCTGTGCGCTCCCCGACCCAGACTCTTCCCTCTCCTCAGAAGCACCTCTCCTGGTGACGTCAGCGCCCAGTGAGAGGGCCCACACCTAGTCACAGAGGGGACCCAAGAGAGCCTGACGATGAAAGTCCCATGCCAGTGAATCTCAACACAGCTGCCTTCAAAGTACCAGGAGAGTGTCTCAAACCTTCCAGAGCCCAGCTGGCCCCATGGAATCCAGGGCAGGGCCGTGTGCACCAGCAGTTTGGGAGAGGTTCCCCCATGAGTCTGAGGCAGGAGACACTGATCCACCAAAGGCTGCTCTGGGGAAGGGGCAGGAAAGAGATACGCAGCCCATGGTACTAGAAAGGCCAGGATCCAGCTATAGATAACCAAAGAGCCACTTGGTACTGGGGGTCGGAGAGAAGGGAGGCTGATGGAAAGGGGTCCGGAAGAGCACAGAGGAGCAACCAACTCCCTAAAAGGATGAGTTAGACCACAATAGGCATCTTCACTGGCAACTAAAGTCTACAGAGCATTTCCATAACAACAGCCCAGCCATGAAAGTACCACAATGCCCATGTCAGAGCTACCGTGGCGCCGCACAAGCCAGGCCCAGGGAGAGCTGTGCTGCTAAGCAGCACTGGGGATGGGCGGGCGCCTGTTACGATGAACCCACGTTTTTACTGATGAATGAATCAAGCTGCACCAGGCGGTACTTAGTAAGGACTCAACAAAGTGCTCCCACATTCTGAGGGAGAGACGAGTTTCTACAGAAAAGTGGCAGTGAACGTGATCTGTCATGAGAGCTCGAGATCACGTGTGGGTACCAGCAAACAGCAGACAGCTTTACAAAGTTCATTTACATTCTAAGCAGAGAGGTCTCAGAACTTAGTGAGCTGTGGGTACCTGCTTCCTGAGCTTCCTGGGTAGGCATTCTTCTGAGATCACCTTGACATTTTCCGTAAGCCATATTCTTGTCCTCTCTGCTGCTTGCTGAGTCGTTAAAGTTCACCAGAAGTGACAGCTCTCAGTCACAGGCTTCACCCTGAGGAAGGCAGAAAGGAGGGCTTTGGGCTACCTTTAACAGTGGAGCTCACCCAGGAGGTCATGTTTCAATCATGCCAAGCATCTCAGGTTTAGAGCTCCCTCTTGTGGCCGTAACTGATGACCTGACCTCTTGAGTAAAGAGCTGAAAATCTATTTCCTAATAATATGGTCTCTCATTTTTGCAAACTAGTGCGAGACCCATTTTCTTAATAATTCCTTAATCATTATTGCAGTCTTTGCTTATACCGTGTGCCAAGAAAATAATTCCGTCTTTTTATCTAGTTTAAACGATACCACTTCTCAAGGCCCTCTGTAAAATAGTGTCCAAGAGAAGTGATGAGCTGCTTCTCTTAACGCCATGAGAAACAGAAGCAAAGCAGCCAACTGAAAACACAGAGTGGGGCCTCCTCACCTGCATTCTGAGTGCGAGACTCTCAGGCCAAACACCTGCCTTCCAGGGCTTTTACACAGCTTCAACTGCAGGCAGGTAGTTGTTGTTAGGTGACCCTATGCACAACAGAACAAAACACTGCCCGGCGCTGTGTCCATCTCAAAGTCACTGCTATTGCCACAGTGCCAATCCATCACACTGGGGTCTCCCTCTTTTTTACTGACCTGCCACTTTACAAAGCATGATGTCCTTCTAAAGTGACTGGTCCCTCCTAATAATATGTCCAAAGTATTAGAGATGGAATCTGGTCATCCTGGCTTCTAAGACTCTGGTTATACTTGCTCCAACACAGATTCTCGTTTGTTCTTCTAGCAGCCCATGGCACTTTCAATATTCTCCAATTCCATAGCTGAAAAGCATCAATTCTTCTCTGGTCTTCCTTATTCACTGTCCAGCTCTCACATGCATATGAGGTTATTGAAAATACCATGGCTTGGGTCAGGCACATCTTAGTCCACAAGCTGACATCTTTGCTCTTCAACACTTTAAAAAGGTCTTGTGCAGCAGATTTGCCTAATGCAGTATCTGTTTCATTTCATGACTGCTGCTTCCATGAAGCTAATGGTTGAACTGAGCAAAATGAAGTCTTTAACAACTTCAGTCTTGTCTCCGTTAATCAGAATGTTGTTGATTGGTCCAGTGGTGAGGATTTTCATTTTCTTTACATTGAGATGCAACTCATACTGCAGGCTGTGGTCTTTGATCTTCTTAAGTATTTTAAGTCCTCTTCACTTTCAACAAGCAAGGTTGTATCATCTGCGTATCACAGGTTGTTAATGAGTCTTCCTCCAATCCTGATGCCACATGTGTCTTCATATAAACCAGCTTCTCAGATTATTTGCTCAGCATACAGGTTGAGTTAAATGGATTGCTAGATTAACCGCTCAATCCCAGCACATTCATTCTAACCTCATTTATCATTCAGCATTCAAATCGACTATTTACTGCCTGTTCTGCTTTCCTCCTCTCCCAGATGAATCAATATGAGCCTTTGGCCCAACCCTGGTGAAGGGAAAAAAGTTAGGAGACAGCCCTGTAGTGATGGGGACTTTAAGAGTCTGTGAGTGGTCATCTAAGGTGCCCTTGTTAGTCTTTCCCATCCATACAAAGAAAACTGGAGAAAAATCAAAGACACAAGGAGACAATGAGTCCACGGGAACCTCAGCCTCCATGACTGAGGCCAGAGGAATGAGATCCTAGCGCCTAGCTACCACTGCCAACAACTCTGATGGGAATCACAGTAAGACGTCCTGGATAGAGTAGGAGGAAAATGTGGAACAAAACTCAAAATAATCACGAAAAAAGACTGGTTTTACCGGTTTGCTAAGCAACTGGTGTAATCCCTGAGATGGTGGCCCAAAGTCACCACTGTCCCTTTAAGCCATCTCCATGGCTCAACATTCGGCCAAACAACATCAGCCTGAGATGAACAATACCACGAGCAAGGTGGAACACCCCAGCACAGACAGCCACTCCAGATCAATGGGCAGCATTCACCCCCGAACAACGCGCAGAAGACAGAAGGGAGATGCAGGGATGAAGTGGGACGAGAACCATTTCCCTGCACAACTGCAATCAATGCCACAAATCAACGTGTTGAAGGAACCCAATTATTGAATGGAAAACCAATTTGCTCTGTAAACTTTTACTCAGATCACATTTAAAAAGCTAAACAATATGAACACGTAAGTTGACGGGCAAGTATGTCAGACTGTCCAATTAAATGCATTTATGTAAAATCACAGGCTCTCACTTCTGCTAGAACTTTTCCGGAAAAGCATCCATTTCTTCCTTGATCCTGTTTTCCACAAGTAGAGCGAAACTGCTGTCTGTGTTCTGAAGATTGTAGCTGACAAACACCTGTTTGTTGGTCTTCCTGGCTACAACGAGACAACACATGGACACATCAATTAGAAACACCTGCGGGTTCTAGGGGGTCTGGGGAAAGAGAACGGAGTAGAGATGGACAGACTAGCATTACTACAGCCCTCCCCTAGTCTCCACAGTATGGCCTCCCGGAGGCAGCATCAGCATCATCTGGGAATCTGTTAGAGATGTAGGTTCTCAGGCAGGGATTGGGACCAGCACATCAGCCATCCAGGTGATCCCAAACACTGTGGGTCCTGCTGCTGGTGCGTGCCGCTGAGTCAATTCCGACCAAGGTTTAAATGGCCAGCCTTGTAGGTCCAGTGTTTTTATCCGGCAGCGTCACACCAGGATTCCATCACCACATTTTTTTAAGTTGTAAAAAGCATGTTGCTGTTAACTGCTATTAAGTCATTTCCAATTCAATACGGAGCTCTGGTAGCGTTGTTGTGTTATGTGCCGTGGAGTCGGTTCCGACTCATAGCAACCCTGTACAGGGTTTCTGAGGCTGTAAATCTTTACGGGAGCATAAAGCCTCATCTTTCTTCCGCAGAACAGCTGGTAGTTTCGAACTGCTGACCTTGCAGCTTGCAGCAAGGTAACCACTACCAGAGTTACGAATCAGGCTGCTAACCTCAGGGTCAGCAGTTCAAAACTACCAGCGGTTCTGTAGGAGAAAGATGAGGCTTTATGCTCCCGCAAAGATTTATAGCCTTGGAAACCCTGTACAGGGTTGCTATGAGTCCACACCAACTCCATGGCTCATAACAACAACAACAACAACAGGGTTCCGAGGCTGTAATCTTTACAGCAACAGAAAGCCTCATCTTTCTCCCAAGGAGTGGCTGGTGGGCTTGAACCATCAACCATGTGATTTGCAGCCAAGGGCTGATCTTACTGTGCTCCTACATGGATAGCAGCAACTTACTTATTAACAAAAAGTAAGAAATACAAAAGCACTTGAAACTGAAGTTCTTCAGGACCACTCCCTCCCAGAGATCATTTCTTTGCGGCACACACACACACAGTTGTCAGTGTGATGGTAAATTGATGTTTCAGCCACTTTCTATGTGACCAGTAATAGCCATGTGCAGTATAATGGTCCAACTGCAAAAACCAAGCAGAGTCCTTCACCCAGATCAGAAACATGGGACAAGGTTGAGTCAGCAAAGAGCCTGAAGCAGTGAAACACCAACTCATCAGCCTACAAGGACCTTCCTACCAGGCCTCATCCATACTTAGCAGATGTGGAAAGTCCCATGGTCCAGTGACCTCCACCCTCTCCTGCCACTGCCCTATCATCCATTAAGTCACTGTCATCTTCATCTCAGCCTCATCACCAAAGCAGTGAGCTGAGGTTGGATCAACACCGTAGTGCATCCTTCCTCCCCCATAGGAGGGCACCTGCCTCCAACTCTGCGGTGTGGCCAACCTGTCACTCCTGTTAGCACCAACAGGTAACACGGCACCACGAGCAGCAGTGTGGCTCTGGGAGCCAGCAGGAGCGGAGTCTCCCAGCTATAAAAGGGTGTGGGTCTAAGACTTCTGGACCTCAAGTGGCAGGGCAGTCGACAGGTGGACAGATGAGAGCAGAGAGGGATAGGCCCAACTGTGTCCTGAAATGGACTTTCAGTCTCCACCTCTCCATCCCCGCTGCTCCGCCCCTAGACACACTTACAGTGAACAGGTGTAACGCTTAAGGAGGAATCCACCCCCAGTAACACTCAGGTGGTCACCCCTCTCCAGGAAGCAGCCCTCCTACCCACTCAACAACCCAGCAGGCAAGCTCATGTTAACCCTTCAAGATTCCTGTCCCAACTTCAACTCCCCTCCAGAGCTCTCCCAGGCCACTTTCTGCCTCCCCAGTGCCCGCATGATACCCCTCTAGTGACCGTGTCGCACTTGGTTACAAACACTCCTCAGTCTCCTCCAGGGGCCTTACAACAGGGAGTGAGGCTTGTCTAGCTCCTCAGAGGTGGGGACAGGCGGCAGGATCATTCATTCATGCCGTCAGGTGTTAGACATATCAGCTCCACATACAACTGCCTACATCGTCCTCACTGCTGTGCTTGACTGAGCCCACTGCGCTGCCACCTTGTCAGCCCACCTCACTGGGGGGGGGGGGCTCCTTCTCTTCCACCCTCTACTATACCAAGCATGATGGCCCCCAGGTACTGGTCCCTCCTGATAACAAGCCCTCAGGACCCGAGTTGAAGACTGGCCATCCTGGCTTCTAAGGAGCATTCCGACTGTATTTCTTCCAAAACAGATTTGTTCCTTTTTCTGGCAGTCCTCACCAAACCAGAAGTCAAAGGCATCAATTCCTCTCGTCTTGTTTACTGTCCATATGAGACCACTGGCAATACCATGGCTTGAGCAACACCCATTTCTCAAAGTGACAACCTTGATTTTTAACAATTTCAAGAGGTCTTCTGCTGCAGAGATGGCCAATGCAATATTGCATTTGGTTTCTTGACTGCTGCTTCCACGAAGGCTAACTGTGAACCCAAGAGCAATGAAACCCTTGACTCATTGATTTTTCCTTCATTTACCAGTACAGCTAGCTGTGAGGATTTTCTTCATTTACTGGTTTAGCTGTGAGGATCTTTGCTCTATGTTGAGATATAATCCATAGTGAAGGAGCTAGTCTGTTATCTTGATCCGTACCGATTCAAGTCTTCCTCACATTCAGCCAGCCAGGTGTCATCTGCGTATCACAGGCTGTTCATCTTCTCCAATCCTGGTGCCAACATTCTTCTTCATACAGTCCAACTTCTCCGATTATTTGCTCAGCATACAGCATGAATAAGTATAGTGAAAGGATGCTTCCCTCATCATTAAAGTTGATTATAAGCAACTGTTAAATGTCTAATGAACAAATACAAAACCCAATTAGACATTTCATTTTAACATTTACTGGCTCCACCAAAGCAATTTCCAGAATCCAGTGAAAACAGAGGTCTTCACAATCATCTACCCTACCTTCTCCTTCTTCTTACCACTTACTCATACAACATTTGTTGAGCACACACCTGCCACATGTCAGACCCTATGGTGGGTACTGAACATCCCTCAGCTGTAAAATGGATAGCGCACCAGTCAGTGGTGAAGACTCAGTGGAAGATTCTGCGTGGTGTGTAAGCCCTCAGTCGACGCCCTTAGTTTCACAGCTGTGACGTTTCTTAGTTGCTCTCAGACAGGAGTCCTGGTGTGGTGCTGTGTGTTAATGCACCAGACTGCAAAGCCATTTGAACTGCAAGGTCGGCAGTTGAAGCTCACCAGCTGCTCCTCGGAAACCCTATACAGGGTTGCTATGGGTCGGAACCGACTCTATGGCACTTAACAACAACAACAACTCAGACAGAAGCTCCTTCAAACAAGCACCTAGGCTCTCTCCCATGGGGACCCCCACACCAGACTAGCAGGGACTATGTCAGGAGCTGAGAGTTGAGCTGACCAGGGGCTAGGGAAGGGCCTGGGAGGAAAGCAAGGCTCCTCCCAGCTGGGGGTCATGCTGATGGGCGCACAGACGTGTGAAGGGCTGCTCCGTCCACTCTCCATTCACCCATCAGCCAGGTCCTCTGTTCCTCTCTTGTCCAGAGAAGAGCACAGAGAGACAAGGGCCCCTTCTCCACAAGCCCCACTGCAAGGCTCTGGGGGTGACCTCAAGGCCATGTCTACTGGATGCTCGTGTCCCCTAGTCCCCTGCCAGGTCCGTGCACATCCTGAGCTCTGTCCCTCCAGCTAGACGGCAGTCCCAGCAGATGAGCTGATGACCGTCCAGTTCCAGGAAACAGCGGCGTCCCCAGCCCAGTCTGAGAGGAAACCAGCACCCGTGTTTGGCAGCCCCAGGCCTGCCTGTACGTACCTAAACGCTGAGCCAGGCCAGTGGACGTCGTGTCGGAAGTGTCTCCAAGCAGGGAGGTTGCCACAGGGATGGAGTCCTAGAACCAAAACAGAGAACACACTATACTCCTCCTCCCTCGAGGAGGCTGCTGGGTCAGAGCACGTTCTCCAGGAGAACACGGGGCTTCGCGGTACCACCCCGATACAGAGGAAGTCACCCAGTGGGGAACACTTGAAGCGGGGCCCGCCGTGCTGTTCAGGAGCTTCAGGACTTCCTTGACTTAAGCACACGCATTATGTAGGTAACTGAAAGGACATCATCCCAGTCAGAAACACAGCAAACGAGGCCAGACGGCCACAGCAAGGGAAAGGCCAAACCCAGAGCCTGGAGCCCCTGCCCACGCCAGCCACACTGAGAGGCAGAGGTCTGACGCCTCCCGGTCTAACTCTCAGAGGCTCGCCTGGGTCCTTCAGGTTCACAAAAGTTGCTGTGACGTTGAGAAAGGCACCCAGGTAGCAAACATTAACACCTTCTGAATACACTTAGCCGGTACTCATTTCAGATAAGACCCAACAAAGCCAAAGCCCAATATTAACAGTACTAAAATCGGTAAGCACAAGACTGCAAGGTCAGTCTGAACCACAAGGTCGGTGGTTCCAACTCTATACTGGGTCACTATCAGTTGCTCTGGTAGCATAGTGGTTACAAATCGGGCTGCAAACCTCAAGGTCAGCAGTTCAAAACTACCAGCCATTCCGCAGGAGAAAGATGAGGCTTTCTGCTCCTGTAAAGATTTACAGCCTCGGAAACCCTGTACAGGGTCGCTATGAGTCGGAACCGACTCCACGGCACATAACAACAACAACAGAGTTGGAATCGCCGCAACAGCACTTAACAACAACAAAATCAATAAACAGAATCTGAAATCCAGACACACCTTACTTCCAAAGACTTTGGACGTAACCTCCCTGACCAGTAAAAGGCCCAGCTTGAAGGAACATAATCCCTGAGTAGCGTAAACAGTTACACACTCAACTCCTAACTGAAAGGTCGGTGTTTGAACCCACCTGGAGTCCTGGTGTGGTGCTGTGGGTTAATGCACCAGACTGCAAAGCCATTTGAACTGCAAGGTCAGCAGTTCAAACTTACCAGCTGTTCCTTGGAAACCCTATAAGGGGTCGCTATGGGTCATAACCAACTCGACGGCACTTAACAAGAGGCACCATGGAAGACAGGCCTGGAGCTGCTTCCAAAAGAGCACTGTCTTGAAAACTCTTATGAAGCAAGCTCTAATGTGACACACCTGGGGTCACCATGAGTCAGCATCAACTCAAAAGGCAATTAGCAAGCTTAAAAGAAAATACAGCCAACTTGTAAAATAGCCCAAACTCCCTTTATTGTAGATTTCTAGAAGAAACAGTCTCGCTAAGAGGCTGGGGTGTCTTGGAAAGTGGCATGGTTGTTGGAGGGGCACAGCTTGTGAAAAACGTGACAAGTTCTCGAGTTTGCACCCACCCTTCCAACTTCTAGATCCACACAGCTGAACTGAGCAAGCACTGAGCATGTGCAGTGAGGAGCACGCAGGTGCGTGATGGCTCCTTGTCTAAGGCTCAAAGTGACTACGAACCAGACAGATGAGGAGAGATTTAATAGCACAGGACACTTAGTAAGTGAAAGGGCACTTCATGCTCAGTGTAGACTTAATATTGTCAGGGTGTGACTTTTTCCCAAAGCAGTCCACAGATCAGACAAACATCAAAATCCATTCTTTGCAAAAATGAAGAAGCCAATCATTAAATTCATTTGGAAAGGCAAGGGGCCCCAAGAAGCCAATGCAATCTTGAGAGGAAGAACACAGTATAAGACTTATGCTTACCTACCAAATTCAAAACTACACAGCTGTTTTGTTATTAGTTGTGAATGAGTTGGCTCCAATTCATGAAGACCCACATAATTCAGGGTGGACCTGCCCCAGAGGTTTGCTGGCCTGTCAGCCTCTGCCCAGGTAGCACTAAGTGGGCTCACACGGCCCAGCTTTCAGCTGGTAGTCATATACAAACTGGTGTACCACCTGGAGACTTTCATCACGGCTACAGTAACTACAGGTCTGGTACTAGCACAAGGACAGGACCTAGACCAAGGGACAGAACCGAGAGTCCAGAAATAAACCCATATAACTTTGGTCACTTGGTTTCAGCAAGCATGTCACATTCACTGTCTTCTGAGGGAAAAGAACAAATTCTTTTCTGCTGGGAAACCTGGGTCTCTGCATGTAAAAGAACAAAGCTGGGCTTACATCTCACACCACATACAAAAGCTAACTCGAAATGGATCACTGGCCTAAATGTTAAGAGCTAACCCGACACAACTCACAGACAAAAGCAAGGGTAAGTCACCAGGACTTTGGGGAATAGTCTTAATTACAACATCGAAAGCACAAACAACAGAAGAAAAACGAAATAAACTGAACTTCATCAAAACGAAAAAACTTTTGTGCATCAAAAGGCATTATTAAGTTCAAATGACAGATAATAGAAATATATGGAAATCGTGTTTAATAAAGACTTAATATCCAGAATACATAAAAGAACAACTAACTTATTTTACAGAAGAATCCCGATCAAAAAGGGGGAAAGGCAGAAAAGAATTCATATTCTCACAGAATCCATACTTCTCTGGTAGCATAGTGGTTACGAATCAGGCTGCAAACCTTAAGGTCAGCAGTTCGAAACTACCAGCTATTCCGCGGGACAAAGATGAGGCTTTCTGCTCCTGTAAAGATTTACAGCCTCAGAAACCCTGTACAGGGTCGCTATGGGTCAGTCAGAATTGACTGTACATCACTTAACAACAAGAAGAAGCCATATAAACCCTTAAAACTTGGGCCCTGAGATCATTTGTAAAGTTAAGCCAAAAATACCTCAAGCCTTCTTAAAACAACCAAACAAAAAACTCCGCTGCTGTCAAAGCAATTCTGACTCATAGGGACTCTATCAGATGGAGTAGAACTACCCAATAGGGTTCCAAGGCTAAAATCTACAGAGAAACACACCTCCATGTCTTCCTCCTGCGAAACAGCTGGTGGGTTGGAACCACCAACCTTCTGGTTAACAGCTAAGCCTGATCCAACTGCCACCAATGCTCTTAAACCAAACATTTAGCTTCGTTAGTGAAGAATGTCTGCCTGTGCTCTTCTCATAACGATCTGTATGGGATCAAATTGACCAACAGCAACTCAAAAGATAAGAAACTTTGGACACAGTGAGTCAAGTTGTTGTTGTAAGTGCCACTGAGATGGTTCCAACCCATAGTGACCCTGTATAGGGTTTCTGAGGAGCAGGTGGTGAACTTGAACTGTCAACCTTGCAATTCAAACCAACTTTGCAGTCCAGCACATGAACCCACAATGCCACCCCAGTCAGGTACTGACTCATAGCGACCCTGTGTACAACAGAATGAAACACTGCCCGGTCCTGGGCCAACCTCACAATTGTAGCCACGCTTGAACCCATTGATGCTGCCACTTTGCCAATCTATCTCACTGGGGGTCTTCCTCTTTTTCTCTGACCCTCCACCCTACCAAACATGAGATCCTTCTCCAGCGAGCAGTCAGGTTAAGGAGGAACAATTGAAACGAGGATAAGAGTGGTTTCACACCTCAGAGAATACAATCAATGTCAGAGACGTGTCAACGTAAAAACTGTTTGATTTGGAATGCCACACTTCAAATGATCAAATTATTAGACTGCTAGAAGGAGTTCTGGTAGCATAGTGGTTATGAATCGGGCTGCGAACCGCAAGGTCAGTAGTTCGAAACTACCAGCTGTTCCGCGCGAGAAAGATGAAGCTTTCTGCTCCTGTAAAGATTTACAGCCTCGGAAACCCTGTACAGGGTGGCTATGGGTCGGAATCGACTCGACGGCACTTAACAACAACATCGTCTCAACAACAACAATCAATTCAATAAATACATAACCTTACAACAGGTAAGTAAAAAAATACAACTCTACAGCAAAACGCAAACCACCCAACCAACAATTAAGCTAAGGAGAGAACAAACAAGATGGCGGATCAGGTGGAAGTGCAGTAAGGAGCTCCGTCAGCAACAACACAGAATACCCCATCAAGCAGGCTCAGGGGTCCCAGAACTCTGAACCACATATAAAGGAATATTTAGAAGGTTGGAAGGCTTGGAGCTGGGGAGTTTTGGCAGAAGCAAGAATCTATTGCTTTCTAGTCCGGGATGCTCGGCTGCTCCAGGAGCTGCCATCTTGGTTGAGACCAAGCAGGGCAAGGATCAGAGCAGTCACGGACGCCTGACAGAACCACAGAGATAAAGGTGTGGGCATTCTTTTCTTTTGGTATCTGTTCATTGGTCCCTTGCTGTCTGCGCACCTCCATTCTGGTGACTCTAGGAGTGCCTGAGCTAGTGGACACCCCAGCCCCACCCTCGGAGGGTTCTACTACACATGCGCACAGATCTCCTCGAAATTTAAAGAGACAGTTTCTATTTAAACTCAAACAGCCACAGCCAGCCCTCAACTGTTTATAACTAGAAAAAAGGCCTGAATGGGGACTGTGGAGCAGGACAGGCAAACTAAAAAGGAAATAGGCCAAAATTCAATCCTAAATAATGTCAAAATGACCAACAGTGGCATCTTGAAATTTCTCAAGAAGAAGAGTGAAAAGGGAAGCCCATTTCCTGATCACATCTACCTGGAGGCAATCAGAAAGCATAAAAAATAACAAAATACATACCCATCTAAGTATTAAGGCCACAGATAACCCCTGAATATGCTCAAAAAACAGAAGCAGATGACCATATCTGCACATGTCCAGAAAAGAGATAAAGTGACTGAGGCAAATGAGCTGGAAGTAGACCTACACTCCATACTGGAAGATGGGCAGGCTTTGGAAATCCTGAGAAGGAATTCAGAAAAATGATTATAAAAGGTATCAAAACATTATACAATGCAGTTGAGAAAAATAAGGAAGAAGTCAAGAAAACGATACAGGAACAATCAAATAAGACAGATACAGCATTGGAAACGATTCAAAACCTACAGAAAGAGGTCCAAACGATTAATATTAGAATAT